AAGTACACTGCTGAGGGGAGCAGTGGGCGGGTCAGGAGAGGTCTGCCGTGCCATGTGGATCACCTAGGGGGCGGGCAGGGTTCAAACTCATGCTGAAGTGACTTTAGCTTCTTAGTGCTGTGCTTTATACCCGCTGCGCCACCAGGGAGGGCCCTGGCTTTTAACCTTTTACTGGATATTAGTATTAGCTCTCAAAACAGACTATGGAATTATGTACAAGGGTTGAAATGTGTTAAGGAATAGTGTAAACATGTATTGGTGATCATCCTGTAGGAGTCAGTTTTGGTCACTGGTGGACGGCTGATTCTGGAAGCAATGAATTAGCCAGATCAGCTGCAAAATATCAGTTGAACAGTCTGGACTAGATGTAGGGCTGATGGGATTCCTGGGCCGACTGTTTTATTATTCCCCCATTCTGCTGTTAGGCTCCATGAGCTACCAACCTTCCTTACCGACCCCACTGGATTAATGCATTGAGTTTATGGACAGTATCTCTCCTGCATCTAACATTTCCCTAATTAGGGCAGCCGTTGCTTCTTGGCTTTTGAGATTAATTAAAATATACTACTTGAGTAGACTGGGGCAACTTTCTAAAGATTCCATTTTTCATGTCTAATTAATCCTGGACCAAAAGGTGTTCTATGCAGTTTTTGTTGTCAGTTTGCCCAGTAGGGTTATATTCATATACTTAACTATTCAGGAAACATAAAAATGGTACCTTTAATTATACATTCCAATTTGAACCTCTTTTTATTAGCCTACCCCATATCTCCCATACGAAACCTATCACCTTAAGCAATATATTAATAGATTCAGGCAGTAATATATAGTGTGCTTTTGTAGTTATTTGTTTTCAAAGATTTATTTGTTTATGCATACAAGAACTGGGGTATAGACCAGAGGTGTTGTGGAATTGAGAGAATTCACCAGAGACAAAGTGGGGAGCAGAACAGGTAGATCTACTGAAATACACTGCTGAGGGGAGCAGCGGCTGAGACAGGAGAGGTTTGCTGTGCCATGTGGGTCAGCTACCTGGCCAGCGGATTGAATTTATACTGCTGTGGTGGCAAAAGCTTCACAGTGCTGTGATTTAACCCCTCGCCAGGAGAGCCCTGTGCTAGGTTGCTCTCCTGGATCATGATCATCAACTCATACACCACACCCTGAAAACTTGGGGGGTGCCCAGGGGACCAGCATTTTTTATCTTACTGGTTGCTCCAGCGTTTTGTTGCTACATGACCAGCGGGAAAGGCAGTTATAAAGTAACACTATTAAAATAGGGGCTTCCCCGGTGACTAAATGCAGAGCCATGAAGCTACAGGCAGCCACTGCAGCACAGATGTGATCCCCGGCCAGGAAGGTGACCCATAGGGCGCAGCAGACCTCTCCTG